TAAAACTTGGGGCTTCTATCTTATGTTCATTCCAGAGAATATTCTGTTGCGTGTTTTTCAAAAAAAAAGCCGAAGATCAGAATAGTAAAGGGAAGTCACAGGGTGTAGAGTCTTGGTTGAATGTTGGCAGAACTTCTCAAGGCAGACAGTACAGAAGAAGGGAAAGCGTAGGCTGATGTGTGAACCTTCTCTTTGCAATGCCTGACAGATTGTAGATAGACGATAAATATTCCTTATATTAATAAAAAGCAACATGTCTTGATTTGTTTTGTGAACTACCTGGGTCACTGATTGCTTTTGGCCTTTATACTATGTGTTCTGTTTTCTAAATCTTTATTTTCCACCCCTGGGTTTGTGGTTCTCAGTGTGTGTGTGACGGTGGAGAGGAGGCCTGGCAGAGCGAGGGGTGTTGTCTGGGAAGGGGGCAGGGAAGGTCATGCAAGAATCACCTGGGACCTCCCAGCAGAGAATCATTGTTTAGGTCAACTTCCTGTTGGTGGCTGCTGTGAGCCCCCCACCTCCCAGGCTCAACTACTTGGAAGAAAAAGAAGGGTTTGTTATAATAGATGTTCTGAGAGACCACTCCAGTGGGTCCAACCCCGCCCATCGATTTCAGCCCAGAAACCCACCCGTTCTGTGGCTGTTTCTCTTCCTGCACTTCTTCCTCTCCTCCCCCATCTTCTTTCCCCACCGCCCTTGTCCATTCTTTCTCTGAGTAGCTTCAGTCAAGCGTATCTGTTTGAAGACTTCCTCTTCTCCACCAGTAAGCATCTGTTTGGTCATTGGTCGTACCATTTTGCCAAATTCTGTTCTGGGAGAAAATGACTTGGCTTTGTACTTGTGTGTGAATGCTTTAGAATCTCTTTAAATAGCTCAATTTTCTAATTTTTCTAAAGATCATTCAGCTGGTTAATGGAGAGTTAAGAGAATGGGCGAGTGACTTTGTAGGGGTTGAAGTGCTTTGTCCTCCAGGGTCCAAAGTCAAGACAGATTGAAATGAGCACAGATTTTATGGATTGGCTTTGCTCAGAAGGTCCTTTTGGACCTTTCTTCATACCAGACAGACAATAGCCTCCTCTTCAGAGAATGCACAGACGTGTATAACTCAGATTGTAACCTGAGCAGGGAGACCCAGCCCCTGTGCCTCTTTCCATTGCTAAGTCACTGCTCTGGGCACCGTTGCTCTGTCTCTTGGAGCTGGACCCCTCAGCCTCCTTTGGCTCTCTGATCTCAGAGACACCTGCACATCTTTGGTCAAGGAATCCCAGTGCTTAAACATTGTTTTATAGCAAAAGAATGGGATGGTATTTTATTTGATAAGATCGCATCTCCTAGGCTCTGGGGAAACCTTCCTTGGCTTCATGTCTCTTGTCCTCTGTCCACCAGGACTATGACACAACATCATAAAAGTTTTCCAAAATTCAGGTATATTTAATGTCTCTAGACCAAGCCACAGTGTCCTGATCTACAAAATTGTTATATTGGACTATACAATTTTCAAGTTCCCTTCCAGCTCTAGAATTTAGCAATTTGGTTATTAAGTGCACTACTTCTCATTCAGATTTAGGAAGTGTTTGATATTACAATTAGGAGGGGTTTTCTTTACTAGTGCATTTTAAAAACCTTTAAACAAACAATTTTTCTTTAAAGATTTTTAAATTTTACAAGTAGTACATATTTATTTCAGAAAAGTTATAAAGAGCATGTAAAAATGCAGTGAAAGATTAGGATCACCTGTATTTTCACTACCCCAAAATAGCCACTGTTAACATTTTGATATATATGTTTTTTAGATTTTTAATAAGCATGTACAGTATGTAATATGTATACAATTATTTTCTTAAAAAATCATACTGTATATATTATCTTGAAACTCTACTTTTTATTTCTCAACAGACACTTGACATCTCTTCAGGTCAATACATGAACCTGAACATTCTTAATGGCTGCGTTGCAGTCCTTTGATGTACTTTGATGGGTGTTTCATAACTTAGCCTATCGATCCTTCATCGTTGGATATTTTGTTATGGCTAATGTTTCACTATGATAAACAGCTGAAGGAATATACATGTATTAATAATTGATTATGTAGGGATAAATTCCTAGAAATGGAACTGCTGGCTCTAAGGATATGCTCTTCTCTTAAAGGCTTCTGATACCTGTTGCTGTATTGCGCTCTTGAAGGTTTTGTTAATTTATACTCCGTCCAGCAAGGTATTAATGCCCTTTCCCTACACCGTTGCTAAAATGGATATTGATTATTAAACACATTGGACCTGTTTTGATGCTGAAACGGCACCTCATTATTTTAATTTGCTTTTCTTTGCTTGCTAGAGATGCTGAGCATTAGGTACTTTTTAGTGTTTATTGGCCATTCATATTTTATGAATAATTATACTTATGTGTATCATGTATCCATTTCTTATTGACATGGTTCTTTCTTACAGATCTGTTCATGACTTTATATATTGGGGACATCAGCCCCATATAATGCCTTATATGATGAGTGCAGTGAAAACTCCTGGTGTCATGTGGCATGGCTGAAAATTTAGACAGAGTGATTGGCTGTTGGCTTCCATTCTGCATCCAGCCCCCAAGAAGGGGTGGACCAAAGTCCTTATCTTCTAGGGTGGGGAGGGGAGATATGGCAGGGGGACAGGTGGGTGGGGTTGTTGGGGAAGAGGATGTGGAATGAGGAGCTGAGGATGAGTCAGGCCAACTAAACAGGCGACTCATTCCTGGCCCAGAAGCCTCTCCTGATTTTAGATGGATAAGACGGCTGGCAGCAGGTGGCGCCAGACTGCAGAGGGGACAAGACTTAACATCGTGCAGCTGAAGTTTGGCCTCTGTGGTCTGGCTGGCTGCACAGATTCCCCTTGGTGCTGAGATGGATTTTTACCATATTTCATTAAACTTTAAAGTATTTTTATCATTTAATTTTGCTTTTGCTTCTTGTTGCTCATTATTTTCTTCATACAAATCTATCCATCTTTCCCTTCATGCTGTTTTTTTTTAAATTAAAAAAGCCTTCCTTCACCATTCCACAAATACATATTATTTTTTTAAAAAAAAATTTGAAGTCTTTAAAAGTTTACTTTCTCTTGTTTCTGTACTCTGGGAAATTTATTTTGGTGTGTGTGATAGGAGATAAACTATTTAATACCGTCCTCACCCCAAGACCTGCTCCTACCTCTTGGATAACTAATTATTCCAGTAGCCTTGATTGAATTATCTGCTTTTCCACAGCTAATGTGAAATGCTGAGTCTTTTTCTGGGGTGTTGATTCCTGTGTCGGTGGCACATTGTTCTAATTGTTGTAACTTAATACTATTTTCTGAAGTCTTGTTTCCTGGAAATAGACTCTGAGATGGAGAGATGTTCACAGAGGTTTATCAGGGAGTTCTCTTGGGAGACTTACCTGTGAGGAGGTAGGGAAGGCAGGAATGGGCATAGGGAGAGGCCAACTGCAATGCTCTTTGAATGGAGGCTTCAGCTGATCCTTTGGGGAGCTCTGGAGTTGTCCCAATTTGAGGCAAGGGGGCTGGGCCTTTGTACCCCTCATCAGCCAGTTACCGGCCCATCCTGGGGGAGGCAAAATCTCGGGCAAGGCAGCCCCCGGCTGCTGAGGGCAATGCCCAGTGAGGGCACAGCTGGGAGCTGTGTGCAGCCCACACTCCAGCAGCTGGGGCCAGATGCATCAGCCCTGGTAGTGTCCACTATACCAATGTCTTCATACCTGGAAACTCAAGGCATTCTTCATAATTCTCCTTTTAAAAAACACTTGGTGTCTTTATTTTCATTTGCATTAGTATTGTCTTTACAGGTAGAGTGTAGGTTTCTAAAGGGCAGGTGCCATCTTAACTAACATGTATGTATTTTTGACACCATAAGAAAGCTGGAAAACCGCAGCCCTAGCAAATATTTCACAATATTTTTTTTGGAATGGTTTTGGACTATATAAAATAATAGGTTTCAAAAGTCAGTGTGAAACGACAATGAGATACCACTTAACATCCACTAAGAGTACTGTAATAAGAAAATCAGTAACGAGTGTTGGTGAGGATGTGAAGACATTGAAACCCTCATGCACTGCTCGTAGAAATGTAAAGTGGTACAGCTGGTATGGAAAATAGTCTGGTGGTTCCTCAAGGGTTAAACATAGGGTTAACATATGACCCGACAGTTCTACTCAGGGTATACACCCAATAGAAACGAAAACACGTCTATGCAAAAGCTTCTACATGAATGTTCATAGCAGCGTTATTCATAATAGCAAAAAAGTGTAAATAACCCAAATGTTCATCATCCAATGAATGGATAAATAAAAGGTGGTATATCCATACACTAGAATATTATTCAGCAATAAAAAGTAAATACATGCTGCAACATGGGTGAATGTTGAAAACATCATGCCAAGTGAAAGAAGCCAGATACAGAAGGCCACACATCACATGATTCCATTTATGTGAAAAGTCTAGAATAGGCAAATATATAGGACAGAATATAGATCACTGGTTGCCTAGGGCTGGGGCTGGGGGTTTGTTGGGGGGTGGGAAATGGGGAGTGACTGCTAGTGGATACAGGATTTCTTTTCAAGGTGATAAAAATGCTCTAAAATTGATCGTGGTGACGACTGTACAACTCAGTGACTATACTACAAACGGTTGAATTGTACACTTTAGATGGGTGAATTGCATATGGTGTGGGCATTCTGTCTCAACAAAGCTGTTACAAAATAAATCAGTGTGAAACAAAATTACAAAGATTGATGTAGTTGATTTGCAACAGATGAAAAGTTTATTGACGCAGAAGGATGAAGGAGGAAAAGACATTTGGCATTTTAAAGACCAAACCAAACCAATAGAGACAAAAGAATATCAGAAACGATTATAGGAGTAGTTGAAGCTCTGTCTCCTCAAGGCTATCGGATTATTCCGTGTGTTTGTCAGGATCCATCATTTACTTCTCAGGGGTAGAACACAGGTGCCTGCATCTTAGTCCTATTTGAATTTTACATCAGAAACATTGTTGACTTGAGGTGAAATCTGTTGGCCATTATCTGTCACTGTCCTAGTTTCTCTGCTTCTACTTGAATCTAAAAAAGAAATAGAATATTAGAACTGGAAATACAAATGTTGGTTCACAAGTCATGCTTTAAAGTGAATTACTGTTGCCCAGATTTCTTGGGCTAAGAAAAGTACACTTTGTTAATGATGGAAGCTCGTTTAGTAAGCAGAAAATATTATTTTTAAAAAGCAACTCTACCCCTTGATTGAGTCGTGCTGGTTCCTCCTCGGGAGTCCACACAGAATGATCCTTTACCTCCAGTCCCTCTGCCCCCGGAACTATTGAGAAACAAAAAGTGAAAGAAATGATTATCCTCCCTTACTTCTCTTTGGTTAAAGAATTGTAGAGAAGCAGGGCTATTTTCTTTCTGAATGGAGCATGTTTCCTTTCAAGGGAACTTTATTTGAAACTTGCCGAAACTTTAAATTTCAGTTGGTAAATAAACAATTTCTTCATTTTCTAGCAAATGTTCAAAATCAAGGTGTTGGTGGCTCACCGTCCCTCCCCATCAAGCAGGCAGCGGTAGGTCTCGATCTCCATCTCCAGGCGTGTCTTGATGTCCAGCAGTTGCTCATATTCCGCGTTCTGGCACTCGGTCTCGCCCCGGACCTGGCAGATCTGCCCCTCCAGGCTGCTGATCTGCACCTGGATCTCTGACAGCTGAGCCACGTAGCCAGCCTCCGTGTCGGCCAGGGACCCTTCCAGGGAGCTTTGCTACAAATGCCCATGCAAATTGACGCATAAACACCGTCAGAATAGAACTGCTTCGTATTTAGCATGTGAATACTGAAATATACATTTCTTTGATGAGGGTGTCTTCAAATGAACCACCTAATAGAGATTTACCTTTGATAATGAATAAACAATAACAGTAATGATAACGAATATTAGTTAATCAGAGTGCGCTACTGTAACTAAATATAGCACTCCCTACACACCACTAGGCACTGTTCAAAGTGTTTTATACAGCCCCTCAAGTCATGAGTGGATTAACAAAATGTGGTACATGTATACCATGGAGTACTACTCAGCCATAAAAAAGGATGAATTATGCCTTTTGCAGCAATTTGGAAGGAATTGGAGATTATTACTCTAAGTGAATTATCTCAAGAATGGAAAAACAAACACCACATGTACTTTCTAATAAATTGGAACCAACCAATGGGCACATAAGTACACAGAGGGAAATAAAAGTCATTGGAAATCAAGCAGGCGGGAGGAGGAAGAAGGGGAGGGGGAAAAACCTACCTAACGGGTACAATGAACACTGCCTGGGTCATGTGCACATTTATAGCCCTGACTCAAGCCATGTAAAAAGAAGAACATTTGTACCTCTTTAATATTTTGAAATAAAAACAACAAAAAGAAATCAGATAATGATGCATCTTTTGGGGAAAAAAAGCCCAGAGTGTTTTATACATATTGACTCATTTAATTCTCATAATGACCTCATGAAATAGGTACTATTATTCCCATTTTACAGATGCCAACATTTTGCCAACATGCTTCAAAACAGTGTCCGCAAAACAATTTTTTAAAGCTTTGGAAGTAAATCAAATGTGTCCCTTTCCCACCTACCATGGCCAGGGCAGACTGGAGTTCAACCTGGAGAGACTGGAGGACTCGGTTCAGTTCCATGATCTCGCTCTTGGCTGAGCTAGCGGCTCCAGCGTCCGTGGAGATCTGTGTCTGCAGGGATGCGCTCTGCAAGAACGAAATCAACAGAGTACAGTGAAATCAAACAAGCTCCAATCCCCAGGCCTGGCTGTTCGGGTTCTCGCACTTTGCCCGCTGTGAGCCACCTGCTTGTTGAACTGCTCCTCGGCCTCCCTGTGGTTTTGCTCAGCCAGCGCCTCGTACTGCTGCCGCATGCTGTTCAGCAGCTTGGTCAGATCTGCCCCTGGGGCCGCGTTCATTTCCACGGTCACGTCCCCGCTGGACTGTCTCTGCAAAGTGCTCATTTCCTGGCAGAGAGGAAACACAGAAGTCACTGTAGCAAAATCCCTTGAGGTCGGGGACCTTGTAGTGAACGATGAACCTTGTTGAACAACCCCCGTTGGTGGATTTATTGTCCCTACCTCCTCATGGTTCTTCTTGAGATAAGCCAGCTCTTCAGTTACGCTTTCTGACTGTATTTTGAGGTCCGACATGGTCACATTCAGCTCATCGTGCACTTTTTGCAGGCCGTTTATATCAGCTTCAACCGACTGGCGAAGATAGAGCTCGTTTTCGTACCTTAAGTGGTGTTTGGGAATATGAGGTATGAATTAGATTAATTACTGTGAAGAAGCTTTATTTTAAAAAGGATTTGCCCACTGCCATCCAGCACATGTTGAAATTCTTCTTTTGAAATACTTAAAGACTATCAACTCCTTAAAAAGAACTATAATTTTGCAATCTCTTGTAAGAAAACATACATTAAAACTGTTTGGCCTTTTTTCCTGGTGCAGACATTTTACATTAAAATATTACATTTGAGACTGGATCTAGTTGCCTGTATTAATTCCTTTATATACATCGTATGTAAAAAAAAAAAAGAAGAAGTCTTATTTTACACCGTGGTAGGGAATGATGTTTTGAAGCAGACTCACTTCATTTTGAAGTCGTCTGCTGCAAGTCTAGCATTGTCAATTGGGGAAGTCATGCTGGCATTATTAATAGTGGCTGCAATGATCTAGGAGACACAAAGATGCAAAAAAAATTAATTAACGTGTTAATGAACAAGATATAATTACTCATTTACACTCGTCAAGATATTGTTGCATAAAAATTTTTTAGAAACAAATGTCTAGTGTGAATTATATTCTAAATACATCTAGTGACACCATGGAAATTAATAAAATTTTTTTTACCAAAAACGTATGTGAAAAATTTTACATGGAACAACTGAGCAAATAATAATAAAACAATTTCTTATTGTCCTACAATTTAATAAAGAGATACAATCATCACTGAGTTTCTCACCTGGTTCCTGAGATCTTCAATTATTGCGTAGTATTTGCTGTAATCTCTTCCAGATTCATAAGCTCTCGACCCAGGCCCAAATTTGTCATACCACTCCTTGATTTTGTTCTCCAGGTCGGCGTTGGCCTCCTCCAGGGCCCTGACCTTGTCCAGGTAATTGGCCAGGCGGTCGTTGAGGTTCTGCATGGTTTGCTTTTCACCTCCAGAGAAAAGCCCCCCATCACCAACACCACCTCCCATACCACCGCCGTAGCTGCAGAAGCGTCCACCAGAACTACTGCCAAATCCAGAGCCCCCGCCAAAGCTAGAACTGCCCCCTACTGAGCAGCTACCAAAGCCTCCTCCAAAGCTGCCTCCAAAGCCACCGCTAGATCCCCCACTCAGGCCACAGCTGCTGTTTCCTCCTAGGAAGCCCTGGGTAGAACTGCCCCCCAGACCACATCTGCTTCCACTGCTGAAGCTGCTTCCACAAGCAGACACCCTGACCGAGCTGCTGCCTCCAGCCCTGGAGGAGAAGACGTGAGATGAGCAAGACATGATGCTCCTGCAGACGTTGAGCTTGTCCAGGTGTGGGAGATGGAAGTAAGAAGCGCACCAATGTGAATGTCCTTTGGTCTTTATATATATACAGTTTTTAGGGAGTTCCCCTCATTTGGCTTTGTTACGGTTTTGCATCTCTAATCCACACTGGGTCGATTTATTTTGAATTAACCGCACCCCGTTGGGCCATTTAATATTGGAAAAATTGAATAAGGGTGGAGTCAAATTAGAGTTGTTATTATTTCATTAGAATTCATTAGTGCTCCACAATCTATTATTTCCTGCCAATCATTTTTTCACCTTCAAAGAAATCTGTAGTTGGCAAATCATACATTTCTCTAGCTTCATTAAACTCATATATTTTTGCTATGTCATTTTGGAAGGATTATTAATCCAGATTTCAGTGTTAGTCACAATACAAACGTCAGTTTTACTTGGGAGTGATATGTCAGGAAACATTTCTTTCTCTTTTTAATCCAGTAATAATGATGAGTAGCTTCATATTCCCTTAAAATTTTTGGGAACAAATTGAGCATTGCAACTGTTCTTGCAGAGAGAAAGCCTTACTTTGCTGATTTATGTGGAATAGCTTTGGAAGCAAGGATTGTTGGTAATGGCGGAGTTGTTACGAAAGTGACCTTGAATTAGCCTATGTAAGGTTTTGGAGCAATAATAATGTTTCTCTTCAACCTCCTGATTCAACAGCCAAAGGAATTTTTCCTCTTCCTTAAATCCATTAGTTTTGGCCTATCCCTAAGTATTTTAAAAAGTCATCCAGATCTTCGTCTTATAACTATGGCTTCCATTAAAACCAATTCAAAGATAATAGCCCATTTTTCTCATTAATTATGGATTTCTACAATATTTTATTTTACTCAGCAGGTAAATCTATAGGTTTCTTGTTCTTTTATTTTACAGATTTACTTGGAAAATATATCCTGTGAGTTTGCACTTTTTCCATAGCTCTTCCTACATACCCTACCAAAGTGAAAATGTAATGATGTCAGTGATCTTTCAAAGGAGGTGCCTCAAGATCCTTGTGATGACGACAATAAATTTGTGGAGCTTTGCAAAATTCCCATCAGTTTTTATAAATAACTTTTAAATACAGTTTTCTTATGTTCTTCCATTTGGCATTTATTTTCACCTTCCCTCTGTGTTCCTAGCGTGCATCTCTTCCTCTAAGATGGGGCTTTCAGTCTGTTGGAAACATCAGACCAATCATAGTGCATTGATGAAATGCTAAAATAGTGGTTAGCCTAAAATGCCACAGGGCCGCAGAAGGTGGAGGGACTCCTGGTGGAGGGGTGTCAAGGAATGTTTCTTAGGTCTTGTGAGGTGGAAATGAAGGATGAGGAGTTTGGTATCAGGTAGTGGTGGGCAAAGAGATTTCTAGACAGGGGTCAGTGGGAACAAAGCAGGATATCCTGAGAATGGCCTGGTGCTGTTCAGGGAGGAGACCAGGTTGCCAGGGTCCACCAGGACCCAGGTCACCAGGGGCTTTTACACAGTGCGGAGAATTTGTACTTTATTTTAGAGGCGATGGGGAACCAGCAGGGGGCGTTGTGGAGGGGAGCGAGATGAGCAAATCCCCACGGTACAGAACTACCTTGTGTAGCTGTGGTCTCCAAGCCCCAGGGCTGTGGACCAATGAATGCCCAATGAATGGCATTGGAGAGAAAGGGAGAGAATGAGAGAAGTTGAGGAGATTGGAAGACCACTAAGTTTCAAACTTGAATAGCAGCGTGGATAATGGTCTTATTTACCAAAACTGAGTATGAGAGGGTGGGAGCAGAGAGAGAGGGTGAGGTGTTTTAAAAAGTGATATTATAATCTCTTTGCAAAAGTCATATAGTTCATCCAAGAAAATGTGGAAAATGCAGAAAAGTCAAAAGAAGAAAATAATCACCTGTATACTGTCATCTAGAGACAAACTCATCTATATTTTGTTATGAAGTAACTTTGTGCTTTGTATATACATGCGTATATGTTTTTAATATTTTGCCACATGAGATCATATTGTACAACATTTTGACACTTTTTCTTCAGTTATTAAAATACCCTGAGCATTTTCCCAAGTCAGAAATTATTCTTCTATAGCAGTAGTAGGCAAAATAAGGCTGGTGGGCCAAATTTGGCCTGCCATCTGTTTTTGTGAATAAAGTTTTATTCGAACACATTTATGCCCCTTTGTTTACACATTGTCTGTAGCTACTTTTGCACTATAATGGCAGAGTAGAGTAGTTGCAACAGAGAGTATATGGTCTGCAAAAATGAAAATATTTGTTATCTGGTCTTTTATAGATAAAGTTTGCAGACTCTTGCTGTATAGCATTATTTTAATGATTCTTTACTTTTTCCTTAACTGGACATACCATTATGTATTTAACCAGTTCACTAGCATTGAAACGTTAGTTTGTTTCAAATGAGTTGTTATAGTTCAGCCTTTGCAGACATCCACAACTTTTTTCTCAAAAGGGCTCCCAAGAGTGGAATTACTGGCTGTAGTGAATGCTGAGTGCACTGCTTTGGTCCCCCTGTGGGACTGAGGCATTCGTCCCCATACCTGCTGAGGGAATCGGTGGCTGGGACTATCAGCTGAGTCCCTGTCTGGGAATCCCTCTCCTGGCCCGCGTGGTCACACTCCCATCCTGGAACAGCCACATCTAATGACTGGTCGATGAGGGGGTATAAAGGCCCCTTGCCTTAAGGTGGGGCAGCTGTAAAAGGCCACCCCATTTCTAGAGCTTTCCATGGGACTGGACCAGCTGAGGCCTTTGTTGCAACTGCATTGCAGCTCAACACCTCTCTCTGCCCAGTTCTGTCTCTTTCATACCTTGCAGGTGTTGGTCCCATGGTCTCTCTCCAGTAAACTTTCTACAACAAAACTCTGTCTTAGAGTCAGTTTCACAGGTGCTCTGATCTAAGACACTGGCCAAGGTATGCCAAAATTTAAAGCTTTTAATGTGTATTGCTGAATGGCCTGTGAGGTTGTACCTTTATACTCCTCTCGGAAGAGTCTTGGACCATGTCTCTCCCTACACCTCTGCCAGCTACGTAGGTGAACAGGCTGTTTCAATGTTGTATATGGAATACCATAAAAAGATCAAGTGCCTACACCATGGGTGCCTTAGACTTTCCCACGTTTTACTGATGTTAGGGACCCAACAACCCTATGTGGATAAGCACATCTTCTCTTTTTATCTGTCCTCATTTTCTAAATGGTCTCTTCCAATGTGTAGATTTTAATGTCACTCCTATGCTGATGACTCCCAAATTTGTATCACCGGTCCAGATTTCTCCTGGAAATCCAGACAGGCAAATTCAGCTAACTACTTGATATTAACACTTGTGTGCTTAATTGGCATCTCAAAGTCAGTATGTCCAAAGTCGAGCTCCTAAAATTCTGCCCTCCAGCCCCAACCCATCAGCTCCTGCAGTCTTGCTCCATCCTCTCGCTTCTTAGGCCAAAGCACTGGTGTAACCATCATCCCCTCCTCACTGACCTGTCTGCTCTCGACCTTGCCCACCCAGCTCTTCTCAACACAGCAGAGAGAGCTCACATAAAAGCTATGCAACTCTGCTTAAAACTTTCTGGAGGCTTCCCACCTCACTCAGAGTAAAAGCCCTCACTATGCAAGATTCTGCCTTGTCTGACCTCCTGTGACCCCCAATATCATCTCCTACCTCTCACCCTCACTCACTCAACAATCGTTCCTCAAACGCTCTAGGCCTCGGGGTTTTTGTGTTTGATTTGCCTGCAGAGCTCTTTCCGCAGGTACCTGCATGGTCTAGCTCCCTCAGGTCTTAAGTCAACTTCCGAGCAGTAGGGGCAGCCTTCTGATAGTTCACATCCCCCTGATATTTGATATCCCCCTTTCATACTTTTCTTTTTCTCTTCGGCATTCATCACTATCTAACATGCCACCTGTTTCATTTATTTACCTTGTCCATTGTCTGTCCCCACCTCTGCTAGAGTGTAAGCTCAAAGGGACTTTTTTGTTTTTGTTTTGTTTTGTTTATTGCTGAGTCTCTAATACCAAGAAAACTAACTCGCATATGTTAGGTACTCAATATATATTTTTTGAGTGAATAAGTGAATGAATAATTAAGTGGCAGCTGTGACAGACACAGAGATGTGCTCAGATCTCCTTTCAAGAAATGACTCACTGCTGAATTGCGAGGATTGTCAGCTACTACAGGGTGCTCCTTGCCCCATTCCTGGAACCGACCCCAGCCAATGGCTGAACAAGACAGTGGTAGCCAAGGGCACACAGTTCTTGGGGTGGCCACTAGCCAATGACTGACCAAGGAAGTGGACAAGGGCTTAGCTATTTTTCCCGACACAGGGCTTTGCTAACTCCTGATATATCATCAGGGTCCATTGGACCCAATTTAATTTTTGAGTGTGTTTTTAAAGCAGTTCTAACCATTTGTAAGAATTGATATTTTATGACTTATATTCTTTCTTAGAAGTCTTCCAAAAAACAAAGAGAAAATTTATTTATTTTTAAAGCAGTTCTAACCATTTGTAAGAATTGATATTTTATGACTTATATTCTTTCTTAGAAGTCTTCCAAAAAACAAAGTGAAAATTTATTTATTTTTTATTATATACCAGACATTGTATATAAAAGAACTGTAGGATCTCCAGATGATATTATTTTCCACCAGAGAGGGCTTCATTTTTCCTATGTGAAGTGTATATATAGTGAAGAGCTAATCACTTCAGTCCAGTTAGAGATTGAGGTGGATCAAGGGTGGGTTACAGTTTCAGTAAGACTCAATTCACCTCTGATTCATCCCTAAATCTTGGGTAGTTTACAACCTGACTTATAGTATTTCATTGTTCTCTCTCAAAAGCATTCAATTAAAAACTTTGTTTTATGTGTTGGGAACTCTGAGTTGACACTCAATGAATGCCCCTTCCTCCCTACCCAACTTATGAACAGTTTGAAGAGAAATTATGGAGGCCAGAATATTATCTTTATTAGTGA